AAAAGCACCCCCTCTTTTTCCGGTACAACACCGGCAGCCGTAACAATCATTAAACTGTTTTTTCTGTCTTTGGCATAATCCCCAACTTGTGAATGCCACATAAAGTTACGTAAATCCAGTTTTTCCCTGTTGGATTCCTTGTTGATGAACACTGAACTCAGCTCAGTCATGATTTGATCACACATGAATCTTAGTCAAAGTGTTGTTGTTGTGCCCAGCGGAGGGAGCCTCCCATAACCCCTGCACTGAGATCTACTGCGGAGCGTTCCCCGAGTCCGAGCCGGAGTCACAGGCCGTGGCCGACTTCCTTCGCAGACACAAGGACACAGTTCAGCTCTACCTCTCCATCCACTCCTACTCCCAGATGCTGCTCTTCCCATATTCCTGCAGCTTGGAAGAAGCAGAGAACCACAGCGACTTGGTGAGTGGTTTTGCCAGCTCAACCTACAGATTCATGACTTTGATCCTCATTTTCTACTTGACTGTTGTTTCTAAATCCTTTTATTTTTGAAAGCTTGAGATGGCCGAAGAAGCTGCACAGAAAATCAGGAGATATTATAGGAACATCTACAGATATGGTGCTGGAGCAAAGACAATATGTAAGAAAGTCTTATTGTTGAAGTAAAATCTGCTTGTTTGACTCCAGCACACATAATTGTAACTGTCTTGTCTTCAGATTTGGCTCCTGGTGGTTCGGACGACTGGGCGTACAACCTCGGCATCAAGTACTCCTTCACGTTTGAGCTCCAGGACCGCGGGCGTTATGGCTTCCTGCTGCCACCGTCTCACATTTCCGGCGCCTGCAATGAAGCTCTGATCGCTGTGAAGACTATTGCTCTCAAGGTCATAGAGAAAACCCAAGTTCCAACAGGTCCTCCACCAACTGTCTAAGCAGTTTGCCTGAAATTAAGGTTGGGAATTCAATAATTTAAGGAGTTTATATATCCATCTCACTGTCCAGTGCACATCTGTGTGCTTGGCTTCTCGGCCCTCAATAAACCTGAAGAATCAGCAGTTCTGATATGTTTTAATTACAATGCAACACAGGCTGAACTCCTTCTCATTCGCATGATCTCCTGTCACCTATCAACAGCTGTTATAACTCATGTAAACAGCTGCTTCACAGGTTGCCCAGGATTTGCTCTGAACTCAGTAGATTTCTTCTTTCTGCTGTTTGGTCGCTGATCCTGGAAGAACCTTGAGAAAACACCACAGCTTCATGATTTGCCTCCAAGAGAGAATTCAAAGCTCTGATCAGAAGATGTGGAACTGAAAAGGGCCTCTGCTACTCCTGAACTGGATTCTGTTTTGTGTATCTTAATCCACCTGCTTGTTCTAATGTAGTTTTGTTATTTTTTCCATTTGTTATAATATGCATTATTGGCCCTTAAAAAATGAGGTTTTAATCTCAAAGACTAGCTGGTTAAATGAATAAAAATCACACAAATATAACTGATATGATTGAGTGTTCGACTTTTGTTTGTGATGGTGTTTATAATATGTGTATTCATGATTTCACTTAAAGTATATTTAAACTCTTAAAGGTTTATTGCACCCAAATAGCATTTATTCACCAACAAGTTAAGGTTTAAAAGGTTTATTACACCCAAATACAACTTATTACAATAATAATGATTACTTTGTTAGTAAGACTTGCATTTGGACAAATTGTGTAACTAGCATATTTATTATCAGGTAAAGTAGTAACAGAATCACCTGCTGTGGCCTCTGTGGTCTCTAGATCTCAACCAGGATGGTTTTAAAGGTTGGACAGTGGACTTTGGATGCAGATATATATTTATGAAATACAATAAAAAGTTTTATTAACCCTGCCCACACACACACAACAAAGACTGCCTTTGCTGAGAGACACAGAGACACAGACATTAAAATGCAGAAGTATTGTGTGTTTTCATATTTCAAAGTGGAGGTTTCGTTGTAATTATATTGTAATATGTGTCATTTTAAATACAATCAGACGAAATGGAAGGAAATGGGCTCTGAAACAGTCAAATCAATGCTGACTGTGTAATATTAAACTGGACGGATACATCATCTAGTGTTTCATATTAAGAGTCAAAATAATAGAAAGAAAATAAGAAAATAAGTGTTAATTAAATCCAGACATTTAAAATTGAAATAAACAAGAAATTGAAGAAAACATTTTAATCAATTAAACCTTTGTTTAATTTATTTAACGAGAAAAAAAACATCCTTTAAATGTCCTCCCTTAAAATGAACGGCTTTTTAAAAAAAATATAGATATTCATAGATACTATTTCTATCAAATATGTTTATGTCTATAAAATATACGAGACATGGATTAAAAAAGGGCTGCATAGTGAAATGTATGAAGTACAACTGCATATATACATCCTGATGATGTTTAAACGTGTTGACAGACCTTCTGCAGATTAAAAGTCATGATCTTAAATTGATGTATCCTTAGAACAGGCCCAATCATGGCTCACAGGTGGTAATTGCAGCCCACATTAAGTTAAGTTGGCGAAATTATGGATAAGCAACGTTTCCAGTTACCGCCTGCTAAACATAAGCCGTAGTTTATTTGTTTTATTTTACGATAGAATGATAACGTGATTTCAAAAAGACCGTTGATGTAAACCAAGCTGTAATGAACGTAACCCAGCTGCTCCACTTGCTCTGAATATGTTTGTTCTTGTCTTTGTCAAGCCCAAACAAAAAAATGAATCCACATTCCAGCTAATTTCGAACCTACAACCGCATCCATGGAGTGACTGGTAGGTTTAGCTGAGCTAGCAGTAATGCTAACGAGCGTCTGCTCTGCCACGGATTGCTTTCTTAACGCAAACTTAGTAGCTTTTAAAATAAATCCTCCACAAGAGACAAAGCTGTAGTTTCATTTAAGTCTGAGGTCTAATGTCTCACTGTGTGACAGTGTCTGACTTCCTCGTAATTAAATCCTTTTTGCACAGTGAAATACATGAAAAACGTCCTCACATCATACTGACAATGTGTTTACATGACTTCTTCTACAGTCTGAAACGATTCGAATATGATTTTACATTGATATATCGTTAGAACAGACCCACTTCTGCCCTCTTGTGGCCACAGGTGGTAATTGCATCCAACGTTCAGTAAAGTTAGAGAAATTACGGATAAGCAACGTTTCCAGTTTCCGGCTACAAAATAAAAGCCTCAGTTTTTAAAAAAAATCTTTATTTATTCTTACGAAAGAATTATCACCTGAGTTTAAAAAGACCGTTGATGTAAACTCAGCTGTAATAAACGTAACTTAGCCGCTCCAGTTGCTCTGAATATTTTTGTTCTCGTCCGTGTTAAGTCCAAACAAAAAATAAATCCACATTTTACTTAATTATGAACCCACAACCGCATCCCTAGAGTGACTAGCAGGGTTAGCTGAGCTAGCAGTAATGCTAACGAGCGTCTGCTCTGCCACAGATTGTGTTATTAACGCAACCTGAGTAGTTTCTAAAATAAATCATCCACAAGAGATAAAGCTGTGGTTTAATTTCAGTCTGAAGTCTAATGTTTATGTATTTTATTTTTACAAAAGAATTATAACGTGATTTTTAAAAGGCCGTTGATGTAAATCAACCTGTAATAAACGTAACATACCTGCTCCACTTGCTCTGAATATTTTTATTTTCGTTTTTGTCACGCCCAAAAAAGAAAATCATAAAATCTATGTAAAGTGAATCTATATACAGAATAGAATAGAATAGAATTATTTTTATTGATCCCCCATTAGGAGAAATTTACATGCCACAGCAGCATCCAAAAAATACAGAAAAGAAAGTACAAGGAAATATGTACACAAGACGACAAAAAATATACTATTGAATGGAAAAAAATACAATATTTACACTCAAAAATAAACAGACTGTGCAAATTTACTGTGCAAAAATGAATTAGAAATCGTTATAGTGAAACGAAGCATCTAAAAGCTGAGAAACACGTTCTGGGAATATGTGGGACCTTCAATACTTTGGTGAGAAAAGGCACAAATTGGGTCAATGAGACTAAGTTATGGAAGCCACAGCATGAAATAAAGGCACAGCAGCAGCTGTGGGGGCAGTAATGAGTCGCTGTGCGGCGCAGGCCGCCTTTAAAAACCACAGAAGAAGAGCAGCACGTATGACGCTCACTCTCCGCCAATATGAAGGCACCCGAGGCAGACTGTGCCTTTGATTTTAAAGAATAAGCCTTGTTATTTCTACAAGTGCTTAATCAGCCAACTGGACTATAGTAGATGCGACACCGACATAAAATCTTGGGTGAGGCTGTTTCTTTGTCTGCATATTAGCAGGAACGCAGCAGGAGGAGGCTGGAAGGCCCCGCGCTAACACAAGACATGAAGCTCTGTTTAACTCATAGTTAACTTTAGCATTAGCCTCCATTCGCTTGTTTTTACATGAGGAGGCATGCAGAATAGTTACCGCTGATAATCACCGGGCAAAGCATTTAAGATATCGCACTGATGTGCAGAAGTTAAAGCCTCTATGCAGTAGAATTAAAGTCGGGTAGCTAGCAAGGAAGTTTAGCTAACCAGAAGCTAGCGTGCACTAGTGCTGGCTACAAGTTAGCGCAGAGCAGCAGCACAGGAGCATTTGCATATGTTTATGTTTGGGATGTGCGGTTCTCTGTGGGAGGACTGAAAGTACAAGAAGCCCAGTGAAATCTGTCAGAACATTGCTACATAAAATGTCAAATTAAAGCTAGATTTGTTCATACAGTACGTTTAAACCAACCTGAGCTGTGCATGTTGTCAATGAGGCAGCAACAAATAAACGTGCAAAAAGCCAGACAGGATGAAGACTGCAATCAATTTGTAAAACAAAATACAATCGTATAAAATATTAAAACAAGGCAAAATAGGGTGGCAGCTTGTAAGATCAATTTCTAAAATGCAATACATATTAAATACTAAAATATTAAGACCACTAAGAGCAACCTAAACACATTGTAGACATGCACGTCGTGAGATTTAAAATTTAAAAAAATAAATAAATAAATAAAATGTTGTAGGAGGAGGAACATTTGACTGAGAGTCCCAAGCTTTGGTGCTGCTACTACAAAGGCACAGGTTTTCTTACCAATCATCTTGACCTTGGGACAGTTAAAAGCTTCTGATCAGAGAGGTCGAGTAGAGCAGAAGCAAAGAGGTTGTGAGGTTTAAAATATCTAAAATCTGTTGCAATAGCACAGGTGTCCTGGAAATTGTAATGTTTAACCGTGTTGGACGTCAAATTATGCTGACTAATCATGGCAGTCCTGGTTAAGTTGTAATCATGCATAACACAACACACATTTATTTCACTAAGCTTTGTTTGTCATCTTTGCAGTCCTGCAGAATGTCCAAGATCAGGCGGAAGGTAACAGTGGAGAATTCAAAAACCATATCTGACAGCAGCAGCAGCAGCAGCACCACAACCAGCAGTACCACCAACCCCGCCGCCCCATCTCGCAGGCCCAGTGTGTTCGAAAGACTCGGTCCCAGCACTGGGAGTAATGCTGCTGATGTAAGTATCACCTGGAGGCACAAAGCTTTGCCCTTTTGTTCAGGATGCCTCGTGGGATTTCCAACACGCCATGAAGATGTGGTTATTTTTGTTCATTTTCCAGAAGTCAAATGCATCATGTAAATGAAATCAATCAGTGCTATGGTGTAAATACAAACCGTGTTTGTTGTTTTGTACTGAATGTGATTATCCTCCTCACAACAGTGACGTCAGTGGATTTTGCTTGATGTGTTCTGTCTCTTTTGTGTCTTTCAGAGTCACTGTAGAAATTGGCTGAAGACCGGTAATTGCAGTTACGGCAACACTTGTCGCTACACACATGGAACTCAGCCACGAGGCAAAGGATTTAGCTTTAGCCGGTAAGATTTTGGGGACCTGTAGTTGTGGTTATTGATTAATTTATTTTTGGATTGTTTTTCTCTCCACATTAAATCAAGTGCCCCATCCATGTGTATCTTTTTTTTGTGTTTTAATTGAGCAGGTCAACCGAGA